GAAGCAGTCCTTTCAAGAGTAATTCTGAAAAAATGTGTTTTAAGGCGCATATTTTTAGAGAAAATGGTCCAGCAGGTGATTTTCTCTTTTATACGCTACTATTATCCGTGCAGTTCTGACTCACCGTAACCCAGCTTTCGAAAGTACGCTTACGCGCAGCTTCGAGCGCAAATCTTGTCATCAAACTAACTAAATTCCTATAAACATAGCACACAAGTTAAACACGCTCTGACAGTAAAGGGAAAGGCTTCCTTCTAGCCCTCATGTTCTGAATCGATGCTGTTTTCTCCTGAATTCTGAGTGTCATACTAAAACTGTGTTATCAAAATAATCAGAATTCAATTTAAAGAAAGACCAAAAACAAATAAATGAGTTGAGCATCGCACAACATCACGAGAATAGTAAATGGTGCTGCTAAGCAGCTAGTGTGCTTAGTGCTATGAAATTAAAGTGAATTTTCTGCAGCAATATACTTCTAACACTAAACAAGTCATTTGAATTTGAAATTGAGCTGTTTTTAACATTTCAAGTATAAATCGCAGCAAAAGCAAAAAAATGATCTAAGAAGTAGAATTTCGACTCAAACCATATGAAATCGTACGACACGATCACCTACAACTTTTATCAAACGATTTTGTACGAATCATACTGCATGATTTCATACGAAATACCTGACCGACGTATAATCATACTCGTACTAGAATCGTAGTATAAGAAATCATACGATCCTACCGTACGAATCATATTACTTCTTACTTCTCTTACGATCTTGCACAATCGTGTACGATCTTTGTACGATTCTTCGACCTGGGCTTGAATAATCGTATTTTTATGAAATATTTCATAAAAATATTTTTGGAATCATAACATTTCATATGTACGATCTTGTAAGATCAGATAAGATCGTACGCATGGTAGCTGTACGAATCCTATAATCCGAACCCTGTGACTTTTCCGGGCCCACGATTCGTAGGTCGATCGGACCATTTCATATGTAAGAAGTAATATGATTATTAAAGATCATATCTGCTCATGTACGATCATACAGTATCATGATGTATGATCATGTCTGATCTTGTACGATCCGCTCATACGATTCTTTGACCTGGGATGGTACAACCGACCTACGGATCATTGTCCCTGAAATGCTACAGGGTTCGGATTATAGGATTCGTACAACAACCATACGTACGATCTTATCTAATCTTACAAGATCATACATGCAAAATTTTATGATTCAAAAGGTCGTACGTATGATTGCGTACTATCATATGCGATCTTACGTACAAATAACACATGATTCTTACTGTTTTTATCTAGCTAGTGCGCAGACTTCTTTCGATGTCAGTATTCTCTCAATCTTTTAATTATAGCGAAGAAAATTCTCTTTCTCTGAGAAGTTAGAAGAACTGGAAAATTTAAAAGTTCCTTGAGTATTCTCAGCCTTCGGTAAGTTAAGGTGATGTAGATACATGAATATAGTAAATAAGGTAAGATAGAATTAGGGAAGAGGAAGTTCTGACTTCTCATGTCTACTATATTCGGTTAGGATCAGGAAGGAATGTAAATTGTTCTTATATTATAATAAATTTTGTTCTTTCATGAACAATAAGCGTAAAAAGTCGCTCAATGAACTTTTAAATCGATCTGAAGTTTATAAAGTCACAAGGTATTTTCTAATATTAGACACTGAAAAACGCATATAAACAAGAATCTAAGCTTTTTCAAGCATTCCAAGTTGGACTAAAAGCAGAGAAATAATCTCAAAAGTACGATTTCTACTCAAATCATATAAATTGTATGACCCGAATAGATACGATTTTTACCAAACGATTTTGTACGAGTCGTACTAAACGATTTCGTACAAAACACCTTACCAGCGTATGACCAGATCCTTAACACAATCATACTATAGGAAATCATACGATCCTACAGTACGAATCACCTCACTTCTTACTTCTCATACGATTTTAGTACGATTCTTCGACCTGGGTATTGGATTGGTGCATACCTAGTTACTTTATGTTTAGAAATACCGAATTCTTCGCTTAATACAAAACCTGCTGTGGTCGGCGATGCGACCCATCTCGATTGAGATATCTTATGTCTATCGAAACCAATAATACTGTTAGGTAAATACTAAGGGTGGTACGTTCCAGTTACTTTACTCTGAAAAGTAACGCTTTTACGTTACTAGCTACTAGTAACCGTAAGTAAAATCCGTTACCAGTAACTGTAACGGATTTTCATTACCGTAATGACTTGTCATTACGATAATGGGAAGGAAAGTGCCACATTCAGTAAATACTGTAATATTAGCAAACTTACTCACATATCAATTTAGTCGATAAATTTTAAAAGCGTGTTCGGCCATAACTGATCTTAGATTCGAATGCTCCATAGTCGGTTATTTTGTGCGCAACATTTTTTGGATTGGGGTACTCCAGAAAAAGATTTCTACGTTGTTTTGCAAATACATTTTTTTCTAAAATTCCTGGAAGAGACTAAAGGCTGCATCAGACTGAGACATTTTTCTGGAGTACTCCGACCCACAACTTGTTGCGTACAACCTAACCGACTACACTATTATTTGGGATTAAATTCTAGTTTATAGAAAATTGCTCTGGAAAATCGTGGAGCTTTTTCTGATATTAATAAAATGCTCGTAGATTTTCCGATCTTTCGCGATTTTCTATTTTCTATAAATTCGGCGTCGATTTTATAAATACTAGAATATCGAGTTTGATTTTCTATTATTCTAGAAAATCGATCGATTTTCTACAAATAATTCCTAAGATTCTTGAAATTCGAAGTCGATTTCCATTTTTCTTGAAAATCAATACCGATTTTCAAGATAGTTGGAAATTCGAAGATGATACGGTATACGCATACCATAGACTATATTAGTCATGTCGTAAGCTGTTATTAAGATGTGATAAGATTTTGAAAAACTTTTGAAAAATCAGTAAGAGTTATATACCAGGCGCGTAAGCAAAACAAAACGGTAAATAGAATTTGCACGGGAGACGCGCCGCGACGCTATATCATATCGCGATTGTAAGAGAAAAATGCGATCGCGACGTGACAGTTTTTATCGCTTCACGATCGTGAATTACAAATGTTCGAAAAGTAAGACTTCATCGATCGCGCAGCGACAACAGAGACTTCTTAGCAATCGAGCCAGGACTCCGCTAGTCGAGCGTGATCACTATACGAAAAAACTGGCATGTCGCAATCCCGAATTACAATTTTCTCCAAAAATTAGAGTTGGTTATAATCGCGCCGCAACAACAGCGACTTCTTAGAGACTGCGGCACGAGTTGCGCGGTTTTAACGTGATCGCGGAACGACGTGAATGAAAGCAAGAAAGTGGACTTGGATATAGTTAAATAAAGTGAATAAGAGAGTAAATGAATTAATAAATAATAAGGCCGTCGTAATATAATTATCGTAAAGATTATTTTTTGTTTGAGTAGACATGTTACGAATTACTAGAATAACTCGTTTGTATTCTGACAGAATAAAGCTTATACCAAACAGAACACAAAAAACATATTATAAAAACTTACTACTGATAACATCGAGTTAACAGAAAGTTATCTGCCTAGATTCGTAATTAAACGCAGTTTTTGTTTTGTTACAAACTTTTGCACTAGCAGTGTTTTTGTCATGTATCCATGGCTATGCCAGAATAAACTGAATTGAACTGAACTGAATTTATTGCACAACCTCAAGCGTTGTACAGAATATAGACATAGAACAGTAAATTTAGTTTTGCAGTTTACTGCATCTAAGTTCATGTGTTAGAATCTCTATTCGTACAAAAATTGATTTCTATAGTTTTAGTTTAGAATACTATAATGAAATATTTTTCCGATTATATTCTGACAGAATAAAGCTTATATCAACTTGTTCTACTACTTCCAGTAAATATCTCTATACAGGAGAGAATCATTCCGTTTATTTTTAATAGTATGTAGATAAATTAGTTATCACTTGTAGTCTTTTTACATACGAAATGGCTGAAATAAGTAAATTACACAAAAAATAAGCAGTTTTTCAAAGATACGTCAGAAAAGGGTACTGTACACTTCATGGACAGAGTAAGAACAAGGACAGAATTTTTTTGTCCTTAGCACTTAGACAAGTCGAATGTTATGTCCATGGGCATTGATGACATCACTCTATTCTGTTCTTTCTATTTTTTGCGTTTCTCGTTAAAAGTAAAGCATAGATCAACTCGATATGGATAAAGAAATAAAAAACGAAACAGAAAAAAAGAAAAGAAAATTGCTGTTTTGTCGCAGTTCTATTGTAGAACATTGTAGACTAGGAAGAAGTGAAATCTTTTCTCTTCTGTTCTTGTATTTTCTCTCGTGAAAGAAAAGTTATAATACACAGCAATTTCTTCAGTTTTAACTTCATTTATTCTGTTTACAACGTCATACAAACACGTTTACCTTAAAGAGATATATTTGTTTTAGTAAGTCGACTTCTTGAACTTTGTGTGAACTCTGCTTTATTCTCTGCCATTAATAGCAACGTAATCTTGCTAATGTAGAATTTTTACTCAGAATCACGTTTTGCTAATGTAGGTAGTCATCTCTAAGCTGCTGCTTTCTCAAATTCTCAATTCATGATGTCCGCTTTTAAATAAAATCAGAGTAGTAGCAGTATTTCTAACGTTTCATTTGTCAAAATAATGTATCGGATAAAATTTTCACTTCTTCTTACAGTATGAACAAAACTTGTGAACTGGGCAGAGAAAACATCATTCGATGAGTATGACTCATTACCAACATATGTGGCAATAATACTAACAGCTAAAAACAGTAGCCGATGACCCTCAGTACAATTGTACTCGAAAGTCAAAATAAGATGAAAGAATATATATTTCTTTCTTTTATTTATTTGTGTCGTTTCTCTAACCTTCTTTTAAAGGAAAAAAGTGCGTATGATACATAATATGTTTTATTGTTACAGGTTGTTCTAATTGAATTATGGACGCCGTTAAAGCTGGTTTTGAGAAAGCCAAAGAAGTTGTTGCTGGTAAATGTGCTGAAGAACACGCAGAAAAAGCCAATGATCCAAGATTACCGGCACATGAACGTGTTGAGCATGCGTTAGAAGCTGGTAAAGCGCAAGTAAAAGAAGAAAAACATGCAGCCAAATCAGATTCTCATGCTATAGACGGAAAATTATCATAACTAACAATGTTAACTATAGTTGATTCATAAACATTATATTTGTTATTTTTATCTATTTGTAGCCTATCTAATTTTTAAACATGATATGTCATAAAAATGGTTTAATTGCAGCTTTGAGAAAGTGAATCGAAAGTGTTAGGATTTTTCAAGAAAGTATCAGCCGTGCTACCATGACATGACTCTCTCGCGAAACTGGTACCGTTTTAAGTACTCACGTTTATGTGAAGCAGGAAATCTGCCATAACATCTGTCGATGAGAGAGGCAGGAACGAGCATAAGAAAAGAGACTGAGCCACCTGATATTATTTCCTTATCATGAAATGTTGACAAGAAAGATAGGACTTAGAAGCTCGGACTACAAAAAGCACTAGAAGTATCTTGATCTTAATTACAATTGATCATACTAGATGATTATGCAGCTCCTTAAGACATCGATTGAATTAAAGGTTTGTCTTACGCTGTCATTTTTTACTGTAACAGATGGCCCAGGCGTAATTGCATTCCTAGTATTTCAATTTTTTTTATAGGCGATCGAGCTAATCTTTTTACCAAAAGATTCCCCATTCAATTCTCTACGAAAATGTCTTGACTGTTTTATTGCAAAATCTGTAGGTGAAGAATGACATGAGAAATTGTGGGAAGGACTCAAATGAAGAAAAATAAATTCAAAAAGTTTTTTCGATTTTATTTGCTAAACGTTTGATAGAGAAAAAAGCTAAAATAGACATCGGATAAATTTCAGTAAGTTCTGTCTTCTACCTATAATTAGAGATAAGATGATTATCGAAAGTGCTTGCATATCTTTCGCTATACACGATATTTTTTCATTCAGTTCTTCATCCATGTCGCACTGTTTTTGTGATTACCTGCGGTTCACCATCGAAAAACTACTGTCGCTAAGCCGTGCCATTCGGTCAGACGTGTGGTTTAGCGACGATTGATTTAATACCGAGCGGTAAACCGATTTTTACATTCACCGTTTTGTTTTGCAGCAGCCATTACATATAAGCAACGCCAAAAATCGAAAAAAACTTGATTTATTTTCAGATCAAATTGTTTTTTATTAATTTTCAGACTCGTTGAAATTTAAATTTCGATTGGAGTCAAACTTTCTCCTATTTAAAGGAGCCATTTTGCGATTAAAAAAAAATGAAAGTTTCAACCTAGTTTCAGACTTCTATTCAATGTGTTCAGAATGAAAATACCGGCGGTATTACCGATCTGTCACCGAGTGGTACCGCTGATATCGCGGTAACTTGCCCGTTTAACGGGCACATTAGGCGTACCAAATACCCTTCGGTAGCCGACGGTATTGAAGACATGGACCCACGCCTAGTGACGTGGTTAGAGATATAAGCCCGAACGGGCGAGTCGCGCCGAATGTGAAATTTTGAGACGCCGCCGCCAATGGTGGCGAAAAGCTCGATGGGTCCAGTGGGCAGCCAGCTGTTTGTTTTTTCTCTCTTTTGTTTCTATAGGCAGGAGGACTGGTAACATTTTCTTATTAGTCGTTTTGCTGACCAATACGGTATTTTTTCCATTATTCTTGTTTTTGTGTGCGTCTTAGTTCTACGTGTTTTTTCGTCAGTCAGAGATGGGCGAGTCCGAATCACGATTTGGGCTCGAGTCGCATTTGCGTTTGACTCGGACTCGAAACTTGACTCGATAAACTGACTCGAGTCAGCCATGTGCAACTTGGGATTGTTATGACGGTGTTTATTATACTTGTTATGTACCAGAAGAGAGAGATTTGAAAATATTCTAAGTAGAACATCGCTTCACATGAGAGGATCGAAGAACTGTTCTTGGAAAAACGGATCAGGAGGAAGTTTCCCTCTAGAAAATGACTTCGAAAACTACTACTTACCAGAAAAAACCCAAAACGTCAAAACTTTTCTAATTAAAAGCTTTATTTAGTTTAATAGATTCAGCCAATGAATCTCATTTTACCTAACATATATTCAAAGTGCATAATTTGTTATAGAAGGGATGAGTCATTTAGCTTCAGTCCACATACCATACTATCTTTGGATCAAAAACAAGCTAGTTTTTTCATTCTGTTGTGCTCGACACGCGAGGACAGTGGATGTGAAACTAGCCAATAAAACTGTCCCTAATGACCTTAACCATAGTGCGCTGATTAAGATAAAAAATTTCATGGATTGAATGAGAAGAGATAAACGGCAATCCACTTATTGTCATCATTAGAACAAGAACAAAAAACCATAAGAAAACTTCCCAGTATGATATGCGTCTGTGAATCCTACTTACGACACTTTACAACAGATGGTCCTCATTAGCGACATTCATTACTGACTATAAAAAATAAATATTTTAACCGAAAATTAAGAGAATGTTATATAATACTTCATAAATTCGTCGACTTTACTTGTTTCTAAGGTATACCTATCAGGGCTATATACTTCTGTTTACACACTGTAAAACATAATTACGATAAAAAGTGGTAAAAAGCAGAAAGCACCTGTAAATCCTTGTCTGTTTTTTTTATCAGTGCTTGTTTTTCGCCTGATCGGTGACTAATTTTCCAACACTTGATAAAATTTACTTCTACAGAAAGTTAAGGAGAGAAATTAAACGAAGAATACTCAACATAATAGAACGGACGAACTTTCTAAGCAATTTTGTTTTACAAATTTAGAATATTTTAAACAACTCTAAACAATGAAACAAAAGTGAAGCTATTTTTGAGTACTTTGAAGTGCACTCTTTCGCCTTATGCAGTTCACAGATCGTTCAAATATAAGTGAGCACTGAAAATTCTAACATTAGCACTGAAAAATCAACTATATGTTGAAAATCTATCCGGAAGAAATCATGCGAGTATATATTATGTGTACCTTTAGAACGAAGCAGATACGTAATTAATAAGTGAAAAGGTTTTTCACAAAGCAAAAATGAGCACAATAAAATAAGTGAAAAATAAGTACAAATTAAAATATGTCTACAGCATTTCGTTCAAAATCTTCTTGCAACTAAAAAACGATAATGTGCGCTCTTTCTATTTCCTTGTTAAAGAACCCCTACCTATACACAAACCATACGTACAAGCTGATCATACAAACTTGCCACTTTACGTACTACCAAGCAACATGCAAACGAACATCATACAATTATCACTGCGTCAGATCTGATCGTCAAAAATTTTATACATTAGAAACTGTACACATTCATGACCACAAACACCTACATCTCAAAACGTTTCAGTACTGCATCACATCAGCTTTTAGTATCTCTGCAGTTCTATGAACAATTTCAAAACCCTCACCAGGGAAGGTTCTTGATAAACTCTCACCTCCACGATCACTCAAGATACATTTGAAAGACGTATGATAAATTCCAACTTGCAATAGGTCCTACGAGGCCTGGAAAACATTGTGTAGCGTGGGAAGTGAGACATATCCCAATCCTTACTCCACGTCATACAACGTTTCAGGAGCCTCTCCCAATGACTACATACCCAAAGTTAATTTTTTATAAAACGCTTCCCAATCTCTTATCAATCTTTCTCTAGTCTGTTGAAAAAGAATATTCGAAACGCGTTCACACTAGTTGGCTTTTTGGGTATCCTCTCGTTTCGTCCCATATTTGTTAATTAGCTCTCGTTTCGTCCCGTTTACATTTTCTATCATTCTACTCATTTTATAACTATTCATTTTTTTCTATCAACTGTATACTAATCAATATTAATATAATTTGATAATTGATACATGGCTTTATAAGTTACA